GGTCATTGAGAATGGAAGTGAGATAGTTAATTGGACATTAGTTTTATTTGAGGATCGTGACCGGTACACATTGCAATGGAAACTATGAAATTATTTTTAAAACACATTTCATTTACAATAACTCTTAAACTAACATAAATGCCTTAAGTGAAGAAATAAATAAGAAAACAGAGAGAAATTCACGTTATAAGGATACTCACTTCTGCCCCAAGGAACCGCCCTACTCCACATGGTCAAAAGCAAGATTTTTTAACTTGATGAGTTTGGTCGAGTGGTCTAGAACGCAGTTCCTTCTGTTTTTGAAACTTGGTTCCGCAAGCCGTGAGTTGAATCACAGACGTACTCTTGTCTTGTGAATTTCTCTGTTGTTAGCATTTCTTCACTTGGGTCATTTAGGAGTTCTAAAGTATTTTTTTTTTAAACTTGCATACATATAGATGGTAGAGTAGCATCCACTCTCTTCCTGTACTGCCTAGAGATTTATCCACTCTGTTCCTGGACTGCATGCTAAGAGATTGGTTCCACAGATTTCGAGTTCAACCCTGTGTCGGGCGGAAGTGTGTATCTTTGTACATGGTGAGTATCACGGTGGTTTCCATATTAATACTTTTTTCACTTAGAGCAGTTGTAAATTATGTTAGTTTAAGGGAGTATTTCAAAGATTGAGTATTTATCTTGGCCTTTGTTTGGAAAGAAATCAAACTCTTAATCTTTTACATTTTACCTCCACATTTTAGCACTATAGTGCAAGGCAATTTAAAATTGCAGCAATGACGGGACTGGCTCTTTCGTCATAATCTATTTTTGTTTAAATCTGGGAAATGCGCAGCTAGTGCAAAATTACTTTTTTAATAAAAAAAAATTACAACGCTCAAGATAGTATGTTTTTCCAGAAATAAAATTTAAATGTATGAAGGACTTCTTATCTATAACTTCAAATAATCCACTCTTCATAAAAAAGGGGAAAAAGGTAGAAAGCTTCATGCACGTTTTTTCAGTAGATTTCTGGTGCTGTTCAAATTAATTGGGATTTGCAGTTCTTTGAAAATTAATCGAAACAAGATGTGTTTGTGAAACACTGATGCCCCCATATGGCAGCTTATGGCGAAGGTTAAAGTTTCTCAAATGCAAGTCAAACTCCAGGTCAAGAGATAAAAAATGTTGGTACCCAAAGAAAGGTCTTGTCTCAAGGAATATACTTGTGAAATATGAAAGCCCTAGCACCAACTGTTGAAAAGTTATGGCAAAGGTCAAAGTTTTTTAAAAGTAAGTAAAACGTCAAAGTCAAGGTCAAATGGTACCCAAGGGAAGGTCTTGTCACAAGTGATATACATGTTCATGAAATGTGAAAGCCCTAGAACCAAACGTTCAAATGTTATGGCCAAGGTTGAAGTTTTTTCAAAGTAGGTCTAACTCCAAGGTCAAGGTCAAAGGGTAAAAGTTGTTGGTATCCAAAGGAAAATCTTGTCACAATGCACCTGTGAAGTATGAAAACCCTTGCCTCAACTGTTTAAAAGTTATGGTCAAGGTTAAAGTTTTTCAAAAGTAGGTCAAACTCAAGGGTCATGGTCAAAGGGTCAAAGATGTTGGTATCCAAGGAAGGTCTTTTCACAAGGAATACACATATGAAGTATGAAAACCCTGGCACTAACTGTTAAAAAGTTATGGCAAGGTTGAGGCTTTTCAAAATTAAAGTAGGTAAAACTCCAAGGTCAAAATTGTTGGTATCCAAGGGAAGGTTTTTTCAAAAGGCATACACATATGAAGTAGGAAAGCCCTAGCTCTAACTGTTCAAAAGTTATGGCCAAGGTTAAAGTTTTTTTCAAAAGTAGGTCAAACTCCAAGGTCAAGGTTAAAGGGTCAAAGTTGTTGGTATCCAAAGAAAGGTCTTATCACAATAAATACACATGTAAAGTTTGAAAGCCCAAGCACCAATTGTTCAAAAGTTATGGCTAAGGTTAAAGTCTCATAAAATTTTGCAGAAGTGGGTCAAACTCCAAGGTCAAGGTCAAAAAGTCAAATATGATGTTGGTAGTTAAGAAAGGTCTTGTCACAAGGAATACACGTGTGAAATATGAAAGCCATAGCTCCAACCAATCAAAAGTTATTGGCAAAGTTAAAATTTTTCAAAATTAAAGTAGGTGAAACTCCTAGGTCAAGGTCAAAAGGTCAAAGTTGTTGGTATCCAACGAAAGGTCTTGACACGAGGAATACACATGTGAAGTATGAAAGCCATAGCACCAACTGGTCAAAAGTTATGGCCAAGCTTATAGTTTTTTTAAAAATAGGTCAAACTCAAAGGTCAAGGTCAACGGGTCAAAGTTGTTGGTATCCAAAGAAAGATCTTGTCACAAGAATTACACATGCCAAGTATGAAAGCCCAAGCACCAACTGTTCAAAAGTTATTGCCAAGGTTAAAGTCTCATAAAATTTTGCAAAAGTGGGTCAAACTCCAAGGTCAAGGTCAAAAGGTCAAATGTGATGGTACCCAAAGAAAGGTCTTGTCACAAAGAATACACATGTGAAATATAAAAGTCATAGCTCCAACCAGCCAAAAGTTATAAACAAGGTTAAAGTTTTTGCGGACAAACAGACAGACGGACAAGGCAAAAACTATATGCCCCCAAATCTTTGATTAAGGGGGCATAAAATAAATAAAGTGTAGTTCAGACAGAAATGCAAAAATTGTAAACGCTGAAATGAGAATTTTCTTAAAAGGTCCAAATCTCAAACCTCTCACTGCAGAAATTACATGTACATGTAATATTGTGAATCATTTTGATGTTTTTATGTTCCAATTTGTAGTTTTTTGATAAACAATTAGAGATACTCAATAAAATTTCAACAAGAAATATTATAATCATGTATACAAATACATATATTAATTTTTTTTCTTTAGGATTTAAGCATAATGTACAAGACTAATTTGACTTTCAATAAAATCAAATCATATTTTCAGTTTTCAATGAAGAAACTTATACCAATATTATATATTATTCTGTGCTCATGTAAGTTAAACTTATACACAAGAAATGTATTGTGGGTTCATTTGCAACTAGGCTTCACATATTTTATACAAAATAAAACTGAGTCATAGTTGCATGTCCGTTAATCTCTAGGATTTTTATTGCAGAGGTGTGTGTCAACATCAAATTAGATGAAGAAAAAAAATCACAGACATATTTTTTCTAACTAAAACAACTTTATTTCTTTTCTTTTTTTTCATATTTTAAATAAATAAAGTGTAAACGAACAATAATCATATAAAACAAAAGAGTGCAACAAAAATAAATCAGTTTAAAAAAAATCAATACTTTGGCACTAAACTTCCAATAACTATTTTAAACACACTAAGTATTGTGATTCTTTTTGGTTGATTCTTGATAAGCGATCTATGTTGCTTTTCATCAGAATATCAACAAAATATGCCTTACAAGGTGTCTTTGCTAAATTTCTTTCCTGAAATAACCCTTATCATGGAAAGTGATTTCAAAGTATAAACAAAACTACAGAGCTAATTAAATATTCTCTTGTGTACGGTACATGCAGGCAAGGTGTAGACGGGATTACAAATAATCTCATGAATGATGTTGAACTAAAAATAAATCCTTAAAATATGCTCCCACGCACTTTTCAGAAATTATTAAAGATCTTCATTAACATGTATAAATTTGTTGTACAGACATTTAAAGAAGAGATATTTCACATGTTTCAATTTAGATACAATGAAAATATTGTAATATAAATTCTCACATTTAAACAAGAGGCCCAATGCCCTTAATGGTTACCTGAGTATAATACAACACTGTAAAGGATCCATAGAGGTATGATTAAAATAAAGAAAATAAATTATAGATGACGATATGTTGCCCAAAAACAAGAAAAATAGGCCAATCGGGGATCAACAAAATTTTTAGTCCAGTACTTAGCAACAGCTCATAAAATAGATCTATTTACTTGTCTTTACTTTCCAGTGCTAATACACTCCCTTAAACTATCACCAGATTAAACAACATAATAGTGCATGTGCACATAAACATTTAACACATAGTAAACCCTGCACTATCCCTCTCCTTGGCATCTCTTGGTCTTTGAATAACATTTAATGTACAAATATAGGGCATTTTTGTCTCACTTTTCTGTCTATTATTTACAAGCCTACCTGTGCATTAAAAAAATATAAAAGTACTTACTGTATTATGCATAAAAAAAATTCTTGCATAATTTTTTTATTCAGTTGAGTAAACAATTCCATTATTACAGTGATTAATTATCTTTATTGTATAACAAAGGGGAATAATTTCTCTCAAATACAAGTACAAATTTCAATACAAGATCAATGGCAGAGCCCCTGATCCAGGGGTCATGAGTTTCGCAATTTTGGAAGAAGCACCCTTGCTCATCATAACCATGCACTTAGTTTATCTGCTAGGACCAGGAGCAGGAAAGATTTTCACAGACAAGACCCCTGACCCAGGGGCCAGGAATTTCAAAATTTTGGAAAAGACAACTTTCTTCATCATAACCATACACTTTGTTTGTGAATTACCCACTGCAGGAACAGAGAAGAAGATTTTTGAAGAATTTATGCATTTTCACTACGTGATCAATAGAGCTCAACCTTAACTCAAGAACTCCTGACCCAGGGGGCCAGGAATTTCACAATTTGGTAGAGGGCTTCATGATCCTTACAATCATGTCAACAGTTTCACTGCTTGATATCCTGAAGTAAAGAAGATTTTTAATTGCATTAATTTTGATGATTTTAGCCCCACCTTTCATGCCCCAAGGGGACAGGGACCATGAAATTCACAATCTGCATTCCTTTCTGCCCATAGATGCTATAAAATAGGTTAAAATTAGTTCAGTGGTTCCAGAGAAGAAGCTAAAAATGTTTAAAAGTTTACAATCATCAAATGACACATGATGCAATACAATGGACAAAAACAGATAGCAAAAGGTCACATGAGTGACTAAAGTGACTTACAAAAGCCCCAAAACTACATGTAATATTGTGTCTGCTAAAAGAGCCTTCTTTGCTTATAAACACACATATAAGCTTAAAAAAACTAAGTGTTGAATTGGCTCAGTTTAGACTGGAAACTTGAAAAATCCTGGCTAAATTGAAAGCAGTAACTCATTAAACAAAATAAGGTGCTGGATGACTTTCAACATTTAATAGGTGCTGAGGCATTATGAGTTAATATTTTATCAGTATCACAGCTATGCTTTCCAGAAAGGTCTTCCATGTCACTTATTGTACATAATTTCAGTTGCCAATCACTTTTTTGCAGGTTTCGGTGGTGGATTACGTTTGCCAATTGCCAGTTGCCTTGTTGCCTGGATTCTAGCTCTGCTCTGCTCACGTTCTGCTTTTTGCTAGAAGGAAAGTTTATCCAAAAATATTGCAAATACTCTGAGTTTAAGCAATTTGATTTAAGCTACCAACTCTTGATTTTCTTTATTAACAAAAAAATGCCTTAAATTTCATAAAATCAGCTAAGACATTATATGTATAGTGTATAACAGGTAACTTCTGCTGTTTATAACTTTTGCACGATTTTGTCCTTCAGCCAAAACTAAAAAATGCAATTGAAAATATAAATCCTAGATCTTTAGCATAACAGATCTATCTAATCACATCACAGAATGTCAAACAATCTATAAAATATGGTATAATTATGCAGTAAGTACTTAAGACATAGGTATGCTACTATATATTAGTACCCTCTCTTGGTATCTCCTCTCATAATAGTCCATGTCTGTCTCTCCAGGTTTTTTCATGGCTGACATTCTTTCTGCCAAGTCCTCATCAACCTCATTGCCTGCAGGTCGACCTGGGATGGATATGCATACAATAAGGTAGTTAAAGGTCTTAAGTATATTATCTTCCCTTGCCAAGGGTTTCTGATTGGCTACTCAGCTTCAAAAAGGATTGTGAGGAGAGTAGCACGTCAGATACCCATGGCTAGCAAAGATGAAGTATATTGTTAAAATAATAATGATGAATGAACCTTCAAACTTATATCAACCTAATAGTATATATATATTTGAGGTTTTTAATGCAACTTTATTTTTTTTGTGTTTCCAAAATTATGTACACTGTTCTCTTCTTTCTGTTTACAATATCATGACTTCAATTCACTTCAATCAGCTCTTTTAAAAACTTCAACAATAAGAAACAACCTAGTAATAATTCATTTTTAAACAAAGGTAGGGAATTTCCTTACACATAAATGCTCAAAATTGTTACAGAAAATATTTTGAAAGTACATGTATTTTTCCTGGCATTGTTATTTAATAAGTGATGTGTATAATACATGTAGATGTACCTTTTACAGCTCTTTGCATCATTTTATGGTGTTTAATGGACTGGACATTTGCTCTCAGGAAAGGATGGTCAGAGGCTGTGATTGGCTGTTCCAAAAACTCCTTAGAGGGGGCTCCTATCAATGATTTAAATGAAGTAAAAATCTTCATTTTTCACCTTATTTTTAGGATCTAATAAAAGATCTTAAAGGACAAGTGCACTTAAGCAATGCTTTATGGGCCCTTTTCAGTGCTGTATTACTTTAGAATATATTACCAAATTGTTCTCTTTTGGTAATAGTTGAACACAAGTGGATATTTCTAATTAAAATCACGTTAAAACATCACCTTAATCAGCATGGATTTGAAACAAATGAAGTTTTTTAAATGCCTATAGATACCCCAAATCCAGAAAAGTCGTACCGAACCTATTTTGAGTTTCGTTTATTTAAATCAAGGGGAGGAGACATTTAAATCGGACACTTGAACAATCTGATGGTGGATCATTGACAGGCGCGTTTGCCGAATGATACTTCTTGTGCTATTTTACATGAGAAAAAAATCGAATGAAGTTGTATAGATGCCTGTATCCATAGTGATCAAACTAAGAAATTTGCGCGCTTGCATTTGAAATAATACAATAAGTATTAACAATAGTTCCTTTAAATTTTAAAATAAAAAAGGTGTATTTAGGTGGCTTTCAATACCGGTACCATTGTCTTGCATGAATGTTAAAAATGTTTGACACTTTTATGTATGATGACATTTTAATGACACTAAACTCTCCTAACCCTTCCGTGTTCCTAAAACCAAATACATACAAACTTCTCTATGCGGCATGGCTTAGATATAATGATACAAAACGTGGCTATCTTTTATAATGAGCATCACTGAGGAATGTTCACCTGGGTAGAACTCACGTGACTACCGGTATTTCAAATAATTTATTCCACAAGTGGGTTCTACATAGGTCACACAGGTAAATAGCTCTCGCTTGCTATAGGAAAAACATTGAACTTTTCATACATTTTTAATATTTTAAGTACAAGCCTAATCTTGTACAAATTTCCTACTTTCACACAAGTTTCAAAAATATATAATGCGTTTTTTGTCAATAGCACAAGTTTGTACAACGTTAGGCTGACAGTAAACAAAAGCTTTGAAATGAATGACCGTCCTCAATTTACTATAGAAAATCACAAATGTCGGCTGACCCCTACCACATTGTATGGCTTTGCTCTTTGTATATTCATGAATATCAGCGATAAAATTTGTTGAATCTTATAGTTTAGATATCAATTAATGATCTGGGATGGAAAATTATGCTTAATTTGATTCTTCATTTTTTCACATTTTACCGGGGCCCATAAGTGCACTTGTTCTTTCTCAAGTAGCTGAATCTCAGTACTGACCTTAAAAACTGCTATTATTGCAAAATACAGTAAAACTTGTCTAATCTGGACACCACTGGTTTCAAGGAAATTAGCCAGATTAGACAATAGTTCAGATTATAGACAAGATTTTTAAAAACAGATCACTTTACAGAAAGGGACTTAAAGTTTAAATTGTATAAGGCAAGATTTTGGAATACACAACATCTGGATTAGACAAGTTTCACTGTATTGATAATATTGCAAACCTCTACCATCTGTCCATTGATATTACTCATTTAGAAATAAATAACATGCACAAGTATTTCTAGAGCAGTAAATGTACCAATACATACATTAAAACTGATCATTACATATAATAATAATAAATGAATTAGTACACAAAATGAACCATGCTACATGTACCTATGCCACTTGGATCCAGCCTCATATATCCATCCATGAGGGAGGAGAACCCAGTGATCCCTCCCATGGCTTGGTAGGGTACATCCTGACCCACAGGGTGACCCCTCGCTATCCTCTCATCCTTGGTCTCTATCAGCATCTCGTGGACTGAGTAGGGATTTCCACATCCACATGTAAAAGAACTGTGGAATCTTGTACAACCACACTTACCTGAAGAAAAGCATAAACTCTCAAAGAAAAGCATAAACTCTCAAAGAAATGCATAAACTCTCAACAAAAAGGCATTGATGACCAACTATGTTGATTATACTGTATCTATCAATCAATTAATACAGTCAAACTTCCTTATCTCTAACCCAATGGGACCGAGAAAAACGTCGAGATATCCAAGGATTTGAGATATCTGGGATAAGACACTTGAAGAATAAGGGATTGGGACTTCCAATTTACTTCGACATATCCATGGCATTCAAGATATCAGTGTTCGAGATACCGAAGTTCAACTGTATTTATTTTTCAATGATGAGATTCAACATGTAAACGAATGATTGTCCAGCATAAAGCCTAACTTTAACAATGTTTGACCTAAACATTCATACGTGGAATAATACATTTAATAAACAAATAACGTTCATAATTTTGTAGTGTCATTACTAGCTGTATCTAACAATAGTGTTATTTTACATGTATTACTTGCCATTTTTACACTTGTGTGGGGCTTTGGCTGTGTGTTCCTCAGTGAAGTGTTTGCATGTACATCTGATGGACTGACTTCCATTCAGTGGGACATATTCATAGGAGTAACAGCCACAACCTTTGACCTTACAGGGTAACAGGATAGGTCGGTTTTGTGGGAGGACTTCAAAATCTGTCTTATGTTGTCTATATCTGAAAAGCATTTAACATCTAGAGTGTACTATGGTATTATGTTGAACTGAACTAGTAATTATCTAAAATTGTACATATGCATATCCATCTTATACTATACATTAAATGTATATTAATTATCATGCACATGTATACAATGTATATTTAGTTAATATGTGTATATATTTCATTTGTTTTTATTACATTTTGCATTTAATTTAATAAAAAAAATTGCATTGCAGAATAATGATAATTCTCGCTGTTTTTCTAATATATGGTATTCAAATCTTTTAATTATCTGTGATTGCAAATTATGTTATAGAAAATTACATTAATTATAAATGATAATTATTTACCTGTGATTGCAAAAGCAGAGTGTTTCTGGTCCCACCAGTTTACAGTCCATACCTTCTGGGTTAATCCAGCAGGTGAAAATTCTGTTCTTCATTCTCTGACATTAGGGAAAAAAAGCACTTGAGAGGTTGATAAAATCTTTGAAAGTTGAAAAAAAATTGATAAAAAAGAAAACAAACAACTGCCTCACTATATTCTCAAAGATGCTTAAGAATTAAATGTCCTTGCAATGGATATATGAATTTTATACACTGACAGGTTTTCTTATACAACGTACATGATGCACATGCATAAATCAACACAAAATCATCCTCACAATGTCAGGGGTCATGACTCCCCATATGGCCGTGGGACCCCTTACAAACTTCATTCATTTTTTATGGGCTGGTGTCTCTCTAAAATATTGCAAATCCTGATTTTTTGTCTTAACTCTCAACCAATCACATTAACATGATTTAAGAAGTCTTTCAGTGATTAACACACTATAGCACATGCACTAAGGTATGTGTCATCTGCTTACTTTTTATTTTTCTTTCTATTTTATGAAAGCTCAAATTTGATTGGTGCTTCTCTGGGAGAGAAGCAAGTCCCCCCCCACCCCCCCCAAAAAAAAAAAAAAACTGCATGAAGTTTGTCGTGAGTGGACTCAGAACCTCCGGTGTTCCAAGGATGACACAAAGTAGAAGGAATATAACATACATATTTATATATCCTAAAATAGTACATGTTCCAGTTAATTTTTCTTGTATTCAGCAAAGTGCCAATATTACAAATTTTTCTCCTTAATATAGGTTAATTCTAAACAAGTCTGTGAGTCCCATTTTTTATCTATCTTGTCATACAACTGGTACAAAAAGAATTCCTCCTTGTATGTGTTGTATAACTGTTACAATTAAATATATGTATACACAAAAATGTGTGTTAATTGTTACATGTGTACACCAATGAAAATGGAATAAGAAAACGTCTCACCATTGGAATAACCCTCTTTTTGTATGCTTCATACTGTTCAGGTGTGAATAACACGCCTCCATCGTCATCCCCAACTATCCTAAAAATAAATACAAACATGAACATTTACTATAGCTCTACGTTCATTAGTACGAGTTTCAATGACATGATAAAAATATGAAAGTTTACTTGGTTTCAGTTGTTGACTGTACTACATTTCCTGTAAAGATTTAATTTTCTGCTGCAGCTTCGGAATTATTTTACATTATAGATATTCATTACAAAGTCTACAGTGTATCCAGTGAAGTCTAAAGCAGTTTGGTTTTTCTTTATATTGCTTGTGATGCTTATATTTCATTAATTTAACCATATATACCACTTGTTTAATTGTTAGTTGAAAACTTTTGCAAGTGAGGATAAGGTCAGTTTCCATCCTAATGAAGAAATTACTAGTTATGGTTATATTGGTTTTAATTGTACATGCCCCTTGAGGGTCCTTGATTAGTGAATAAATACATTCATATCTATATGGTCAGAGGAAATTCTGGAACCAATGTTGTTTACATTTAAGTTTTTTTCAAAAGAAAATTCTGACCTTTTATACTCAGCATAGGCGTCGACAGAAGCGGCAGCCGAAGGTCCAAACTTAAGATGATATTGTCTAGCTGCCATGTGTATAAATATATGATGAATCTAGTCAAAGATTCTCGCTAGGCCTAGATACATGTAAACAACAATAAAAAATGTCCTAATAAATCTTAGAACTGGTTTCGGACAGAATGATAATTTCCGAAAAGAACAACGCAATTTAGATCATTGAATATCTTTTTTATTTGTATGATATATTATTAACACACCTTTCAAAACGATAAAATGCATTTATTTCATTTGTAGCAATTGTTAATATTACAAAACATTTCGTAATTAATTATACACATACATCTGTAGGCGCTTGGTTTTCATGTTGCAGGATGATGTATTTTGTGTATTGTGCTTTAATTTAAATGTCTGTCTAAATATATCATTAAAATCAAAATCAAAAATAACTGAAATTTGCATTTTTGAAGATATCATATGATCTTAATTATACAGATATATGACTGTATTTAGGCAGACACAGAAATGCACCATCGTGAAACCACTTACCCCGGTAAGCGCTTATATGATTAAACATTGTTTTATATTATGAATATGACTTGAAGAAGATGCAAATACGTCGTACCATTTTTGTTAAGCAGACAATAAAAATTATCAAATGAAGTAGTTTTTTTCTGGATTTTTTTTTTTATTTCAACGAATTGAATTTATATCGACTTTATCATGTTTATATGGTGCATATTTACATACATGTACATATAGCCAAATCTCCTTGAGGCTTCTCAATTTGTGCATTCGCTGAGCTATGATTCGGGACCCATCTCTGAGACTTACAATAACTTTTTGTTAGATGGAGAGCAAAATTAACACACAAAATCATTATGTGTTCGTGATAATCTATAACCAGTGCATATCGAATCTTTGTGCACGTACACTGTACATGCTCCAATTAAGAAAGATTTAAGTAGAAAATTATGGTTTATTTGTATACACAAATCAACTTTCCTAGAAGAGATTTTCATAATTCCTCTTTTATCAAGATATGGTCATGATGTTACACATAGGTATATTAAGGTAAGAGAGAGAGAGAGAGAGAGAGACAGAGAGAGAGAGAGAGATTTGTAATCTTATAAACAAATAGTGTCAGCTTGTTTTAAGTTTGATATCGCGTGCTACATGAATCAGAAACAACGGCAACATTTTGTGGAAATATCATAAATTAATGAAAATTGTTAACTTTGACATTGAGTAGTAACCTGAAACACTATATATAATACTCTGCAAAAGGCAAATTGTACAGCTTGAAATTAACCTTATAAGGTAAGAACTGCCTATAATGAGATGCTTAATGTTAAATATAACCCAAAGATACATGTATATAACTAAACTTCATAAATGAGCATTCACATGTCTATTGGGCAGAATTCGCGAATAAATTGGCATTTTTACAAGTTACACGGGTGTATTATATAGAGATAAAGATAATACATGGAGAATAATACATGGCAAAATCTACATCATACCCCATATCAACCCGAGGCTCCAATATCAGCCCGAGGGCTGAAGGTCAGAGGGCTGATATTGGTCGAGGGTTTATATAGGGGTGATGCAGATTTTGTCATGTATTGTTGTTTTTATAAGCTTGTAAATTAATTACTGAAATTTTAATAATTGATTGTGTTCTGTTTAAATTTTCGTTTCTCATTTATTTATTTTTTTTTCCAAAGGCAATGCATTCAGCGATAAGAAATGAAATAATTATAAATTAAACGAATTTTTTTTAATAACATAAAATATCTGATGAAAATAAAATTACACTTTTAAATAAACTTCATAAACAAATAGAAAAAGATCCAAAGTACTCCGAATGAAAAATAGAGATATTCAGGAAAGGTGTAATGAAGTGTGTGATAAAGGGTGAAATAAATGGTGCTGATACAGGGTGCGTAAAAATATATGTCTTATATTTTTTGCCGGACACTCTGTTTACATCAATACAGGTGATGTGTTCGAAGTTTTAAAAATAACGGATATACTTTATGTTTTGGGTACACTAGTACACTTTCAGATCATCGCTAATTCAACAAATCTGTCTATAATCTTATAGTTTAATCATCCTTATCGAACTCCTAATTTCTAGACAGTAACATCATAGTATATTTCTCAGTCGGTAGAGCACTCGCTCTGTGATCGGAAGGCCGTGAGTTCGAATCTCGGCTGCGACTGACCCAAGTGGTAGAAACTGTTCCTTTGCCAGGTGCTCGGCACTTTGAAGTGAAAGTTGCGGGTCCTTCATATGACACCTTAAAAACCGAGACCCCGTGTAACGACAGGCTTTGGCACGATAAAGATCCCTCACTGCTCAAAGGCCCTAAGTGCCGAGTAAAGGTCTAAATTTGAAGCCCTTCACCGGTATATGGTGACGTCTCTATCTGCGTGAAAAATTCTCGAACGGGACGTAAAACAACAACCAATTAATCACTCAATCATAGTATATTTCTATTTTAACTAGATATTAATCAAATGGGTGGAATGATTTTGTATTCAAAAGAAAATTGAAAAAATTTCAGAATAGATAGACTGCAATAATTTGCCCCCCCCTCCCCCCCCCCCAAAAAAAAAAAATTGAATTTAAAAATACAAAAAATTAATAGATTATATTATTGATTTTTTGGCACCGAGTTATATTTGTAAATCCAACATCCGAAGCAAGTGTGAGAGTGTGCACCCATTGATGCACCGTCCATGCAAGTTTGGTCTATGTAGGGCTTAAAGTTTTACTGAAATGAACCTGCTCCTTAAATTTTAATGTGGTCACACATCCCGAAATCCAGCATCCGAAGCAAATCTGATAGTGTGCATCCTGGATGCAAAATCGATGCAAGTTGGTCCAGATAGGGCTTGAAGTTACACTGGAACGAACCTGCTTTAAAGAATATAACCTGGTTATTCATGCATCCAACAAATTTTGTTTAAATCCAGCATCCGAAGTCTGATAGTGTACATCCCATGATGAATCATCCACGCAAGTTTTGTTCAGGAACACCTTATAGTTTCTTGGTAGCTGACCTGCTCCAAAACATTAACCTGGTCACTCATTCGAAAATATAATTCAGATTGAGCTTTCGAAGCAAGTCCAGAAGTGTACATCAATAAATGTATCTTCAATACAAGTTTGATCATTATTCGACTTATACATGTTATAGTTACTTTAGAATGAATCTGCTCCAGAATCTAAAATCTGGTAACTCATGATCATTCAGAAAAGTCACGAGTCACGGTAGGATAAAGAACCCTCACTGCTCAATGGTTCTGAGTGCGGAGTAAAGGTCTAAATTTGAAGTCCTTCACCGGTATATGGTGACGTCTCTATATGAGTGAAAAATTCTCGAACAGGACGTAAAACAACAATCAATCAATCGATCCTCTGGTTAAGGAGCATCTGAAATATAAGCAATATAGACAGAAGTTAAATAAGAGCAAAATATTTTTTTTAAAGTTAAAAGGAATTACATATATTAATATTCAAATTTTAGCGATGATATTTCAATTGATAGCTAAAAATAATAGCATCCGAAAAGGCCCAGTGATGGATAAGAGTGATCAATCTCATTAATCCAGCAAACAAAATGAATCGTGAATAGGGCAAAAACACGGACCACTGGAACCACCAGAGGTGGGATTACATGTCTAGGAGGAGTAAGCATCCCCTGTTGACTGGTCACACCCGCCATGTACCCTATGTATTGACCAGGTATACGGAGTACTCCGAAGTCAAATTTAGTTTATAAAAGCAATGACCTAATAAATGGCAAAAAAACATGTCAGACATGTCTACATTTGAAGGGGTATTCGTTTGTTTGTTTGTTGTTTTACGTCCCTCTCGAGAATTTTTCACTCATATGGAGACGCCACCACTTGCCGGTGGAGAGCTGCAAATTGTCTACCTTTACTCGGCACTCAGGGCCACTGAGCAGTGAGGGATCTTTTTCGTGCCACCACCTACTGCGACACGGGACCTCAGTTTATACGGTCTCATCCGAAGGACTGGTCTCCACGTCCCACAGTGGGATTCGAACCCGCGAAGTAAGGATCAACTCCTTACTCTGCGACTCTAGAGCAGACGCTCCAACCACTGCGCCACGCGGGCGACTGAAGGAGCCTTCGTCTGCACGATAAAATTGAAACATTTTATGATCTAAAATAACAAATGCATGAAGATGAACATTTACCTTAGGTATATTAATATCACTGATATTCTGATGGAAGCAGTATTAAATACACTAATCTTCCCTCTCCCTGCATGAGCGCCCTTTTCCACCATGACTTCATTTTCTTATGGAAATTTATCAAAAAGTATCCGTTGATTCTTCTGAAAGCGTCCTTTTTAACGAAAGGGTAAGCTATATCCCATATAAAATTGGTTTTAGTAGAATGATTGCCATTGCTTTATTGCTGATGTTGCTGGGGATACCGGAAGTTGAAGGAAACAATGCAGTTCAAAGAAACAGTAACTGGAACCTGTTCAGAGATGATTACCTGTCAGCGATTCAGACTTGCTTCACACTAGGATTTGTCAAAGAGCAAAGGCCAGACACATTGAAAGCGAAAGGTAGTTTTCGAACATTTTGAGTATCAAATTTGTTTATTTGCTTGTACTGAAAGCATGTACATGGAAAGCAATCGTAAATTCGAATTATGTTTTGCTAAAAAATAAAAATGATAACGCATGGTCCAGAACTGCTATTACCCAATTCCTTTTTAGAAGTTAAAAAAAAAATGGAAAAAGTGGAACCTTTTGTATAGGATTATTAACATAATATTATACATGTTTCTCTTTTCTAGAAACAGTTGCATTCGAAGCCAGCCTTAGTTCTTCACTGAGGAACATGAAAAGTGGCCAGAGAGTAGTTTTCTCCACTTTGGGTGAAAACAATGGCAACGGATATGACGCAAGCTCTGGTGTCTTCACTGCTCCCGGAAGTGGTGTATATATTTTCGTTTGGAGTATAGTGTCAACAGAAACACGTTTTTCATCTACGGCTTTAATTGTTAATGGAAAGCAAAGGGCTGTTAACCAGTGTAATTCCAAGAAGGCAAATAATGACTCCTGTACACGTACGACTGTCGTAAAACTGGCGGTCGGCGAAAAAGTCTGGATCGAATGTGTCCAAGACGGCTCTGCTATTGATGATTATAAAAGCTCATCTTTTGCCGGATTTAGGCTTTAATGTTTTAAAGAAGTATCCAGATGTTTTGTATAATCAGTAAATTGTCAAAAGAAAATTTGAATTCTTTTTTTCCATGAGATGTTACAAGTAGCTTCATTTATCAATTAAATAATTTTCAACGACTAGCAATTTCAGGGTTGCGGTATGCGGAGAGTTCATCGCTTCTTTTCTTATATAGATTTTATCAAATTGAAGGTCAGACGTTAACGTTATCATGATTATTCTCAAGATTTGCTCCCAAAATTAGGTAATTTCTTATAAAAGTAAAGTTGTAACATCTTTTTACCATTGACATGCAACCTGTAAAGTACAGTTTTCCTTTCGTTTCGGTTCGTTTCTTTTTTTCTCTTTTCTCGTTTCTTTTTTTCTTCTCTTTTTTCTTCTGCTTTTGTTTTCCTTTCGTTTCTTTTCTTTTCCCAGTTTACAGGTACCCCCATGTAATCCAATGTATTTGTTGCTTGCTTTTATAACAAACATATATTGAATATATTTTGCAATTTGACCTGTATATGAATAATTGAATATGAATATATATTGAATTTCGGATAGCTTCATCATTAACCATTTAATGGGTATCAATCAGTTAAATGCAGAATGCAATGTAAAAAAAAAATTGTTGCATATATAATTCATTATTGTCGACACATCATTGTTTATGGGGGACTAATGTTCGTGGATTTCATGGGCAACCATTCCCACGAATGTACATGTACATCCCCACGAACCAAACTTTTGTCAACACATTGGTTCACTGAATTCTTTGTACACACCAGTTACCTACGAAATAACACCAGCAAAAGTGTGCTTACCCACGAACATCGAACGCCAACGAATTAAAAATGATTCCACAGGATACTGATTTTCAAAACCCTACAATTAACATCTATAGCATGAAAAGGTAACTCAAAGAAATCAAGTTGAGATACGTGTCCGAAAGGTGATCAGAAAATTCGCGAACTATCTCTGTGTCTGCATAACCACAATTCAGATCAGCATCAAATTTGGAATATTTATAGTAATAAACATGATCTGTAAATAGTGCGTACGTGTCACAAAATATTTCACTTCATGTTTAAGACGTAACAATGTGAAAACGATGTCAATATGTACATGGCCTGTGACAAAAATGGTTGACTCAGTCCTATTCGAGCAAGAAACGGCTGTATAGTTTTAAGTGAATATTGGAAAATCCTTTGCAATAATATATAATAATTTGTACAAGGTTTCTGAAGACAAAGGACTTGCCAAAAGTTTAATTAGTAATTTGATTCATTGTGTTTGAGTGAAGGAAGGAAGATGGTTAAAAATTATGTTCGCTCTGGGTGCCCAGTGAAAGTAAGTTTGGAATGAGACGTGTCCTTATTTGAGCAATTAGTAACGACAGAGTTAGAAAAAATAGTCGTACATTTCAACAATAAGTTAATTCTTAATCCCTTAAATTTTCAGTTACTTTGGACTATTAACAGATCAGATATGATATAATAGAGAATCCAATCCATACAAGATCCATACTGGCTATACAACACACCTATCCAAATGCCGAGATTTTCCCAATTTGTGACAAAGGGCTGTTCTTGTTATAAAAAACAACCTGCATAGTAAGAAATATAAGACCCCAGTCTTTGCGCTGCTGTGAACCGTTCACTACGGAGTATGTCACGTGACTGCCTGGATCACGTGTTTCGTGCTTGGGCAGAAGGCTGGCGTATGTGCGTATGTGGGCCTACGTTAAAAAATAATAAGCACTGACACTCATTTTGATTTCATTTATTGACGTAATTCAATTAGTTTACGAACTTTTTGATAACCCCTCGTATGTAGCATCAACTTGAAGGCAAATATCATTTTTTTCCCTGACTTTCTGACTTTCCCTAGCAAAAACTTATTATAGTTAACTCGAGTTAACTATTGTTAACTTTAATAATAATTAACCATAGTAAAAACTTTAATTAACTGAAGTAAAAACTCTGATACTACAGCCAGTAAACTACATTTATCTATGGTAAACTATAGTTAACCATTATATGTTTTTGCAATTTCTTGAATTAAGATATATTTAGTTGTAATGTAACTGACTGTCTTTTGTGCTCTTGTGAAAAAGAGAAGACGAGTACTTTTTTCTCGTGAGAAAACACTTCTCCAAAAATAATATATTTAATGCTATTTTAAGAATAGGTAATTTACATGTAGAAGACACTCACATTTTGACTCTTAAATGTATTACAAATAAAATAAAATAAAATAAAATAAAATAAAAATAAATAAATAAATGAATAATGAAAGGTTGTATTTTTATTGTGCAAGCAATTGTTCATAAACAGATCTAGTCTTTTAAATTTCGAGTTTATAACTTATCTCGATTTATTTGTACACATTACATCAAATCATATTTTTGCACATGCATATTTTTTTTGTTTACTGATATGTGACTGCTTTGAGGAGGAAGATCATCTTATTGACCATTTCATTGGACTTTTGAGCCTTAATACTGTTCGTTATCTTCATATATTTCATTGTCCTAAAGTTTTGAAATTATTTTGTGTCATCAATAGTCACAATGGAGAGGATGACCGGTCGGCTGGGGATGCTCACTCCTCCATGGCACCTGATCCCACCTCTGATGTTTTGGAGGTCCGTGTTTGCTCTGCTCCTATTTTGTATTGTTTAATGGACTTTTGAGCTTGAATACTGTTCGTTGTCTCCATATATTTCATCTGAGGCTTAAGAACTTGTTTTTCCATCTTGTTGTTGTAACATCATGACAATAAAATATGTTCAAACCAGTGTCACCCTGCTGTAAGTATGATATCATGTGTGCATGAATCAGAACTCTACAAAACCACAACAAACAATTAGTGAGTACATATGTATATAATATATTAATAAAAATTATCAACTTGATAATTGTGTTACGTGAATCAACATACACGTCCATTACCCTGCAAAAGACAGAGTAATTTGTTGTTTTTCAGGTAAGTGAAGCTTATTTAAATATCAAAATGTTTTCAAAACAGGACGTCTGGACTTAATTCATATATTGTTATATGACAAGAGTTTTTAATCAGGAGTGCTTGTAATTGTTTCAAAAAATTCTCTGGGAAGAGAGTAAATGTTTCTATTGAAATCAGAAATGATTCTTAATATTACGAATCTGTGATATTTTTTGAAGCTGAAAAGTATAAAACCGCTAGAACAACACTTTTAGCTGTCCTAGTCTTTATTGTTTCCATGAAAGAATGTATCAACTTATAATGTTTTCTTGATTCAAAGTAATAGTAAATTACGCTGTGGAAGATTAACTTTGCTTATTTCAAAACTAGTTGTCTTGTCTGCATGTATGCTTGATCCAAGGGCAAAGTGTGTTTTGAACAAAGTTTTTGTCTGGAATTCAGAGAATGTAACAGGCAGGTGTATTCAAACTTAAGAAAGAATTTCCAAAGTAAGTTGAACGGCGTGCTGCAAGAATTGTAGAATTGAATGTTATCTCAAATTATAAAACCTGTAATTTTTTTTCCTTTGTTGAATTTTTGTTTTAGCCATAGTGTTCCAAAACTGACACATTTGAGTACAAACTGGGAAGAGGTCGAATACTGTGTTCTGTTTAAAAAAAAATTCTTGGAGTGATAAAAATGCAATTAATTGATTTCAATTAACTTTGCTTAGACATGTACAGTTGTAATTATATTCTCAAACTGAGGTCATTGATTTCCTTAACCAATTAAAAAGCTATATGTGTACATTATTTTCAGGGAATAACTTCCGAAGAAAGCAATTTTGTTATATTCATGATGTTAATTGACAAGCATTTTTCGCAATTATGGATATTTTATAAACCGATAGACAACTGAAACCAAATATTAATTTGACACCTTTTGATTATCGTACTTGATACTAGTAGGTACTAGAAACAAGCTAATTTAGTAAAATTTGTCTCCCCGCTTAAGGAAAAAAAGAAATGGTGGAAAACCTGAAAGAAATTCAGAAGGAGAAGAAAAAAAGGTCGACCTTGAGTTTGGTCTTAAGTCAATAGAGGTTTTTTTTAAGTCAAAGAAATGCCTGACCTTAAGATAATCTTGTCGCTCCACTTTCAAAAGTGGAAGGGGCACTGAATATCCCACTATACCCTTTACAACCCCCACGTGTCCGTATATTGACTAATACTAGCTTTTAAAATTGGCACCAAAGAAAATTTGCCTGGCGACTTAACATTGCATTGACGACTATTTTTTTTATTAGGGGGCAGCTGGCGCCTAAATTTTAAGAGGTCACTCAGAGGTCTGACATGTTTTATTGCAAAAGATAATAAAGAACTAAAGTTATTATCTGAAAGCTTTGTATGCGATATTCCTTTTGACCTCAAAATCTATAGGGATCTTCTTTAAGTCATGTTTACTAGTAGTATAAAATAACATTGCAAAACCTTAAGAGAACTCAAGTGATCATCAAGAAACCATTTTATGCAAGATGTGAAAATTTGCCCTTACGTTTTAACCTTAATACCAAAAGGGTTCTTCTTTTAGTCATAGGAAATAATGAAGTTAGATTTCATGGAAAAAGATTAGAGAGCTAAATTGATCACCTGGAAGTCATTATTTGCAGAACATGAGTTTCTGACCTTAACCTTTGACTTATTGACCTCAGAATCAATATGAGTCTTCTTTAATTTGGCCAAAGGGAGTTGTACATGTAAAATACAATTTTATCGGAAAAGCTCGAAAATTTTTGAGATGTCCGAAAACGAAAGTGTAACACACTGAGGGAATGTATAATTTCTGACCATGACCATTGATCTTTTGACCTCAAATCAATGGGGGTTTTCTTTAAATCATTGATAGTTATGATGTCAAAATTTCATTAAAAAACTCGAAGAAAACTAAACGTCATCTGGAAACTATGTTTCCTTATGTATATATTTCTGACCTTGACCCTTACACTACTGACCTCAAAATCAATGAGGGTTAATTTATGCCACAGGGAGTTTTGATATAAAATTCCATTTTTAAGAGCACAAGAACGTTTTGAGATATCGTCCGGAA